GGGAGGGGAAGGCGGGAGGCCGAGGGGGTGGGGGCAGCGGCCGGGGCCGGGGTCGAGGGGCACCCGGCGGACAGGCCCAGGAGCCCCGGGGCGGGCCCTGGCGCCCTCCTGCACCGGCCGCACCTGCCGGGACGGAGGTGCGGGAAGAGGCCCGGTCGCACCGCCCTCCGTCTGGCATCCTCCAGGCGTTTTAAAGCCTTGCCGACACCCTTCTGATTTTGCCACGGCCACCTGAAGCTCCCCCTCGGCCCGCCAGGCCCCCCTCGCTGGGGGCACGGCTGTACCGGGGCACGGCCCCGCCGCTGGCGCAGCTCTGGCCGGGGCTCTCGGGTTTACCGGGAGCCCCCTAGAATTTCCCCGTAAAGCATTGACTCCCGCATGCCATCATCTCAGCTCCTCCGCTTTTCATCAAGGAAGGCTTGAGCCGTCAAGACAACAGAGGAAAAAAATCTCGAAAACTTAAAAGCTCCAAAACTCACACGCCAATTAAAATAAAGGTTCTCTGATTTGTTTACTGTTTTTTTTTTTTTCTTTTTCTCCAAAATGTGCTTTATAGAATATCTCAGTGACTTGTGAAATCATTGCAGTGCTACTGCGATGTTGCCAGTATATTCTGCTAAGTATGATTTCCTTCCATAACTCCTCATGCTTCCCTGAGCACCTCCCAATAACCCGTATGGAGCCTGCTCGCGTAGATTCGGTGTATGGAGATTGCTCCCTGCCCGCCTTTGAATCAGCACAGAATGTCAATCCCCCCTTTTCAGAACCCTCACGTAAGTCCACTGTGTTCCCGTGGATTGCATGGATTCAAGTTCCATGTCTTGCAGTTCGCTTTGACAAAGGGGTGCTCAGCTCACGACAGGACATCCCTGTGAGTGTGCAGAACACGTGTGCTGGAATAGTTGTGAGTGTGGTGAGCCAGAAGGCAAGTCTCATGGATGCTCCAAACACTGGATGGTTCAAGTTCCAGCTCTGAAACTCCATGTTGTGTGAGAAGACCTCCATACCAGGACTACTAGCAACTTTGGCGTTTCCTCAGTGCATTTCAAATTAAAAAAATACATGAACAATGCTACTAGAGCCATTTATCTGCAGCCATCCATCCACTCAAGGGATACCAAGTACTCCTAAAGCTGTAGCCTAGTTCTCACTGCTACCTTGCTCTAGTTCAATAGGCATCTCCAGTTCTCTCCATGCTGCTCCTTGGTCCCACTTCAGTTTCTGTGTGGAGGGCATTGTACTTGAAGGAAGTGGAAGAAATCCAGCATTCATTTGTATATCTTATTTTTCTCAGCACCACCACTTTGAGTTTTAAAATCAGTAACAGTGCAGTCACTCTACACCAAGCCAACAAGAAATATTTCTGCCCCCACCCTAAAGTAAGCAGCCCCAAATGTTTTACAGTGCCAAAATGAAGCAAATAATCCCACTTGCTGACTTCTATTCTACTTGGTCTCTGGATGTCTTTTGGCCTCTGGCCCTCACCCACTCACAAGTATTGGATATTTCTCACTAACTGCAGCCGTGGCTTTTGGATGTTTCCCATATCTGCCCAAGCTTCTAACCATGCAATTTCCCCAGGAGTTAATTTTCTATCTTGTTGTTATTTGCAGTCGCTCTCAATTTCCTGCCTTCTGTCAGTTATTTGTATTGCAGTCATGACTCTGAGATTGTGCTTGATTACCTTGTTTTATTGGATGCTACGTATATGCTGTTCTGCTCCACGTAATGAGGGAGATATTAGAAAACAGAGAGGTTGGAGGAGAGTGCATTTGAGTTGTCTCCGAGCTGGGTATGTTACAGGTCTCCAGAAGCCTCCTGTAAAGCGAAGCCTGACGGCTGCTCCTCCTGTGGCAGAAGCAGCTCATCCATCTTTGCTGGCACTGTGGAGGCGCGTGAGGAAAAGGCAGCTCCCTCCTCAGACGCAGCCTTGTCTTTTCGTTCCTGTTTTGCAGGGTGGCCAGGCCTGTGTCTTTACAAGGGAGAGGAGAGTGAGTACACTCAGAAGAGGTGTGAAGGCAAAAGGAAAAGATAAAATCATGACTTCCTGTTCACACACGCTGAAAGTTCATTCTTAGGAACTTTCATTTCCTACACATGAAAGACTGCCACATTAAACTGGGCCTGAGGCCATCTTTGGGCTGCCCGTGGACAGGGGGAGGCCATAAAACTGATGTGGACACTGCACACCCCTTCCCCTCCTGCCCCAATGGCTGTGTAACTCTTGTGACAGTTCCTCACCAAGCCAAGTGCTGGTGGCTGAAGGACTCGCTGGAGGAGGCCATGTCCCAGTGAGGGAAGTGGACCTCAGCCCTGGCTTCAGGCGTGAGGAGGCCGTGTCCGTGGAGGCAGGGGAGGCCTGGGGTCCCTCTGATGCTCAGCAGTTCCAGCAGGTACCGAAGGAAGAACACTTGCTGGTGTAGCAGGGAACTACTTCACTATTGTGGCTGTTCTTGCACTGCACAGTCAAATCCTACGTTATTCTCACTAGAACAAACCCCAGTGAAAACAAAGGAATTCATTATTTTAGCCAGTTCTGAGTTACTATTTTTCAGTTATTCCTCATTCTTCTTTCACTTCCTTTTTTTTTTTTTTTTCATTTGATACATTGCAGAAAGCTCGTGCATCTTTGCTGACCTCCTTCTGGCACCATTTTTCTCTCTCTCTAGCTCTGTTTTGATTTTTAATTTAGGAATCACAAATTTAATCATAGAATCATAGAATGGTTTGGGTTGGAAGGGACCTTAAAGATCATTGAGTTCCAACCCCGCTGCCATGGGCAGGGACACCTCCCACCAGACCAGGTTGCTCAAAGCCCCATCCAGCCTGGCCTTGAACACTTCCAGGGATGGGGCATCCACAACTTCCCTGGGCAACCTGTTCCAGTGCCTCACCACCCTCACAGTAAAGAATTTCTTTCTAGTATCTAATCTAAATCTCCCCTCCAATTTAAAACTGTTGCTCCTTGTCCTTTCACTACACTTCCTGACAAAGAGTCCCTCTTACTAAGTTACCTAATACGTAACACAGTTTAAAGATTGCAACTTTCACACTAATAATAAACATGGAAACTCAAAGAAAGAAAATGCCACCTTAGTACTGGAAATGTATCATTTCCTGGTTGGAAACACAATCATACTATTGTAGACCCAGCACTGATTTAAAATAGGCTTTGGACATAGGACAGGCTATCAGCAGATCAGAGTTCAGACTGTTCTCAGGATAATCACTGCAAATGTAGCGTAGCTCTAACTAAAGATTTACCAAGTTTTGGTGAGGTTTTAGGATGAACCACTCTGATTCTGTTACTGTTACAGACTTAATTTTGAACTTGGAGATGTCCATTAATAGATTTCACCACATTCACCTGAAATGAATAACAGTAAAATAAACCTGAGAATGCCACGAAGATGCTTCCTGTGCTGCTTTCTTTTGAAAGTGTTGCCCGGAATAATTAACATCTTTATGGAAAAAAAAAATGTATTGGAATGTTATATACATTACTATTAATAATAAAGCATTATGGTAATTAGCTGTAGCGCTAGCTTTATTTGCAGGTTCTTGCAAATTTCTGAAACCACATCTACAAAGATGTAATTACAACACAGGAAACCTGTCACGGTTTGTAATGACAGAAAAGACGAAGTACGGGCAGCAGGAAAGGCTTAATGAAGCCTTCTGTAAATAGCGAGTCAATCATTAGCTAGTGTTAATACATCAGTTTCCATGAGACTGCTGGGTGAGAGACTGTGCCTCTTTGCTACAGAATTACCAGACACTTGTTGCACACACCGGCAAGGTAGCACCACTCCTAGCTCTGCTGCTGACACCTAGTTGGAAGCCTTATATAGCACCCAAGTTGATTCCAATGACCTGCTCCAGCCTGAAACTATTATGTCCTAGTACAGCTTAGGTACAGAAACTGGAGAAGTTTTTTTGATGTTGTGAAAACATGAAGGGTCTTGCTTTGGAGAAAACTGTTATAAGTTAGATACTCATTTTGAACCTCTAGTTTAATCATGAAAAATCCAAGGTATCAAGGTATTTTGTACCTGTGATCAGGTATGAAATCCACCAAGGAATCCTACGATTGACTGAGGACTTTTAAATCTGACTTACAGCATAATAATT